CGCCCCGGGCGAGGTCCCGGGAGCAGTGGCAGTTTTTGTCTTACCCGGCACGGGCGCGTATTGTGTAGCACAGGAAGCATGATCATAAGGAGGAGGAGGAGGAGGAGGAGGAGGCGGAGGAGGAGGAAGAGGTTAAGGAGGAGGCGGAGGAGGAGGAGTTCACAAGGGAAACTCATGGAGGAGGATGAGGAGGAGGAGGAGGAGGAGGAGGAGGAGGAAGAGGATGAAGATGAAGAGGAGGAGGAGGAGCAGGAGGAGGAGCAGTGAAACTACGGATTCGGCCTGTGTTTGGGATTCGGTTCTCTGTTATTTATGGGGCCAAGGGCCAATGGGGCCAGGCGGACAGCGACGGCGACGACGAGGGCGACGAGGACGAGGGGGAGGAGGAAGAAGCCGACGACGAGGGGGCGGAGGGCCAGCATCCCCATCCGTCCTTGCGGCCCAAGCCAAGAGCAGGGACAGAAGGAAGAACCGCATCGAAGTCATCTTGGAGCCATCTTTACACAATCTTATTGGGGCAATTTAGGGTTGAAAGAGGTCATATTGGGGCAATCTCGAAGTCGTCTCGGGGTCATGGGGCCGTCCCGCGGCCACCTCGGAGTAAGATCGGGGCCATGCGGTAGCCTCAGTTCAGTCGGAAGACAAAGGGTTCGTCTCGGGGTTCTCTTGGGGCCGCAGGGTCGTCCTGAGGTCATAATTATTGGGGCCATTGCTTGGCAGGGGCTGGGCATCTTGGGGCGACAGGGGAAATCTTGTAATCCTTACAAAACCCTTTTGGTTCCATCTGGGAATCATCTTTCCGTTGCTGCCCTCCCGTTGTTGTTGATACAGATGTTGCTGTTGCTGTTGGCGTTGATGCTGCTGGTGCTGCCTGGGCTGCCCGTAGTGCAGCTGCTGGTGCTGGTGCTGTGTGGAATGTCAGGCTCTCTTGGAGCCATAATTATTGGGACCGTCGCGGGGCCCTCCTGGGCCTCTCGGGGCCCTGCGGAAGACCTCTGAGGGCCCATAAGAGGCCTCCGAGAGCCCCACTTTTTCAACAGACATTCAGCACACGACGCTGTCCGATAAAGAGGCGGTGTGTGTGTTAAATGTGCGGTGTGTTGATTCGGGGAGGGCCAAGCGTTCAACACACGAGGCGGATCTTTTCGTCGAAGCCGTTCGGGGCCACGGCGGAGCCATCTCGGTCTTTCCAGGCTCACGCAGGCGTGTGTGTTTGGTGCCTGTGCGCACGGTGAGAATGTTGCCGGGCACCTCACAAGCATTCTTGGGCCATGTGGGGCTCCTCCGGAAGGCCTCCTCGACCCTCCAGGAGCGCCGTTGGGCGCCATGCAGTGGCGGGCCATACCTTGAGGTTGATCTGTGGGCGTTGTTGGAGACGGTGATGGGCATGGCGAAGGGAAGGGCGAGTGCACAAAAGGGGAGGACCGCGCGGGGAAGCCTCACTCGTCCTCTTCCCCTTCCTCGTCCTCTTCATGCTCCTCTTCCTCGTCCCCTTCATCTTCCTCGTCCTCTTCCGCTTCGTGCTCCCGCCTCTCTCGTCCTCTTCCTCTCCGTGTTCATCGTGAGGCCCACTTGGTGCCCCCGTGGAGGTTTTTTGCGGGGCCACCTCGAGATGGCCTGGATTGCCACTGGCCCCTGCAGTTCTTCATTGAGCCCTCATGTGGCCTTCTGTTTTGCGTGGGTCTCCTTGAAGCCCATTTTGGGCCGTCTTGGGTTCATCTGAGAGACGTCTTGGAGCGCCTTTGAGACCTCTTGAGGTTTCCTGGGGCCCCTTCTGGCTATCTTTGGCGCGTTGGGCTGCAGTGGGCGTCTATTAGAGGCTCTTTCTGCGCCGTTTTGGCGCGATCCTGGAGGGCCTCTTGGGCCCTTTGGGGGGCTGCGAAACCCGAACAGGCGAGCATACCAAACACGTTCAAACTCCGCATGCTGTTCAACGATATTCAACCATAGGGTACGCTTGCGGGGTCCTGTTGTGGCCCCCATCAAGCCACGTTGGGAGCCTATTCGGCCATCTTGGCGCTGTGACCATGCTGGTTGTGTCTTGCCGCCTTGTGGGAATGTATGGGGCCACGTTGGTGCCCTTTTGGGGCCATCTGGGGCATCCGCGGGCCGTTGAGTGGCTGTCTGGGACTTTGTCAAGGGGGCAAGGTGGAAGTTCATTGCAGAGATGGGCATGCGACTCGGTGTACATTCAGGTGTGCAGACGCATTTGTTATACCGTAGACGATGTGCATTTGTATATATGTATATCTATATGTGTGTATGTGCAGCTTTACGTGTATGCAGCATGATGCGTACACACACCACCTTATTCTGCATGTCTGGCGATCTGGCCTCTGCTTTGACGGATCGAGACGTCGGAATCCCTCCCTCGGCGGAAGGCGGTAGCAGGCTGGCGGAAGTGAACTGGGCGGCTCCGCCGGCAGAAGATTGGCGGAAGGACGGCGGAAATTCGCTTCGCTCCCCACAAGGGCACACCACTGCTACAGTGAGCGGCTTGAATAAGGAACGCTTACTTTTCAAAAAAGGCTCGGTCGTTCCTTAGGTTTGCATGCGTTCTGTTACCTTTCTGGCGCTAGAAAGTGGCTCGGCCGTTCCTTCGGACTTCGTAGACTTACTTGGAAAAAATGGGCTTCGTTCCTTATTGATCGTTCCTTAGGTCAGGCCGATGACCGTAGCATGTCAAGTAAGAAGCGGGCCTGCCAGTAGGTGGCGCACGGAAATAGCTTAGCCCCTGGTGGCCCCAAGGGCCCATCAGGAGCCTTAACTATTGACGGGGAGTGTTCCCCAAGATGTCTTCCAGGAAAGAGATCTGCCCGCTCTCGAGGGCGGGAAACGAAAGTGTTCCTGGACGGGGTGCGCGGGGACGCACGCCAGGGGCCCGTGCCCAGAGTTCCAGGGCCGGACGCCGTCCGCAGTTGCTGGCGCCCCGCCCCCTGGCATCGCTCGGACGTGTGTGCTTTCCTTCCTTCTCCTCCTCCTCCTCCTCCTGCAACCTCCTCCTCCTTCTCCTCCTCCTGCTCCTCCTCCTCCTCGTCGTCCTCCTCCTCCGCGAGCATCCGGGATCATCGAGCACAGAAAAGACGCACGCACGAGAACGAGCCAGAGCACGGGCCGAGGCCCCGGGAGCCGGGGCAGGACGCCGGCGGCTGCGGAATCTGGACGTGCTTCCCGGCGGCGCCCTCGGGGGCCCAAGCGCCGGCTCCAGCACGAGTGAGCATCGGCGGTCGCCTCCACCGACCCCTGACCCTGGAGTTTGCGCCAGTGGCCCCCCCACCCCCTTGCTTGGGCACGCCCATCACACGGTTCGTGGCCCCACAGGGAGCTCCACCGAAGGTGAGATTCACAGCTGCTTCGCTCACAACTGCAGATGGTTGGGCCCTTCGCCAAACTGATTTTGGAACGCAGTGGAAGCGTCTTGACTACTTTTCTGAGTTAGCACTGCGTATCAGAGCTCGCGACCGCGTCCGTGAGGGCAGCACACAGGTTTTCAAATCTTAGTGGAAGACCTTCGCATGCATGTTGGGGTCTGACCCTGAGATATGGGAAGTGTTGTGTGGCTTTTGTTTCGGGTGTATGATGCCCCATTGTTCTAGGCATTCCGTTTCAAGACTTCGTTTTTGGCTACATTCCAATAGATTTTCCACATGGCGGCGCCGCCCTATTTTGGCGCACCCTTCACATGTTTTGTAGCCCAATAGGGAGCTCCACCGAAGGCCTGGGTCGCAGGGTCCTCTTGGCGGCGCCGCTCCATTTTAGCGCACCCATCAGACGGTTCGTGGCCCCTTTGGGAGCTCCACCGAGGGCACCAGGTGCAGGGTCCACATGACGTCACCGCTCCATTTTGGTGCACGTTTCACACGGTTCGCGGCGGAAGGCCCCAGCAGCAGGGTCCACATGGCGGTGCCGCTCCATTTTGGCGCATCCCTCACAGGGCTCGTGGCCCCATGGGGAGCTCCACCGCAGGCAACAGTGGTAGGGTCCACACGGCGGCGCCGCGCCATTTTGGTTCGTGGCACCATGTCGAGATCAGCCAGAGGCCCCAGTGGCCGACGTCGGCTTCGCTGCCAAAGTCTGTCCGGGGCAGCATGTTGGGGGGATCGGCCAGCCCGTTGGGGCACGCATCCGCCCCCAGCCGCCCACGGATCGGCCAGCCCCCCGTTGGTGCACACCCCGCCAAGGCCACCCAGAAACGTGCGGATCTGCGATCGGGGGCCCATCGCCGACCTCTCGGCGATGCCTCAGCGACTCCTTTGGTAGCAAATCATGGGGGCCCGGTGTACCCTCTTGATCCCGTCTGTAGCGCCGACTCGTGTCGATTAGCGTCTGGGAGTCGATGAGGTAGCGCCGACTTAGCGTCGAACTGGCGTTGATTTAGCGTCGAGTAGCGTCGTTTTGCGTGGATTCGCAGGAGCCGACAAGATGGTATGGAAGGCTCCCACGAGTTGCCACCGAAGATTCCAGGTTTAGCGTTCCCCCCTGGAGCTGGTCTCCCCCTTGCGTTCCCTGTCCTTGCATCGGCGCGGGGGGTGCCAGGCGGATGGGTGCCACCCATTCCGCGGAGTTCTCTGACACTCTGAGCCACGTGGGGCACTTGAGGCCACCTGCCCAGATTAGCGGCACCCCGGCGCCTTTTGAAGCGCTTGGGATCCGGTCGTAAGCCAGGCTGGGCCAGGTATAGCCAGCCCACCTTGGCATCCACGGATCGCCGCCCCCCCAATCCCGGTCAGCCCTTGGTGGGCCCTGGAAACGACACGGCCGTTTTTTTACCGGTTCCGTTCTGCCGTTGTTTTGCCGGTTCCGGCGCCGTTTTTTTACAGGTTCCGTCACCGTTTTTTGACCGGTTCTGGCTCCGGTTCCAATCCTGGAGCCGTTTGTTCGCCGTTTCCGGTCGCCATTTTTTTTCGTTGCCATTTCCAAGGGACATTTTCTGGGAACTTGGTGAAAAAACGGCCCTGCCGTTTCCGGGGCCCACAGAGGGTCCGCCTGGCCCTCCGCAGGCGCCCACCGCCGAGGGCGAGTGCCTCCGGCGGATCGCGTCGCTGGAGCGGCGGCTGGCGCGGGAGAGGCGGCTGATGGCCAGCGTGCGGGCCGGGGAGGCGGCGGCCCTCTTCGACGAGGCGCGCCGGCCGCAGCCGGGGGAGCCGCGCGCCTGCTTCGGCCTCGAACGTGTCCATATCCCGAGGATTGGCACGCCAAGAGGCGAGGACAGTCTCAGGGATGCGCCCTGAAACACTGAGGGGATCCCTAAGATTGGCATGGTGTTGAGGCGGTGCCCAGCTCAGGGATAGGGATATGCTCCAGGCTGGTAAATATGGGCGCTGCGTGTTTTGCACACGGGGCGTTTTCGCCTGGGGTCGGGCGCTTCTCAGGTCGATCCGTCTCGAAGAGCGTTGCGGAAGGCTGGGGTCTTTTGCTCGGTGCTTCAATTTGTAATCGATCGTGGTTTTCCTGGATTCCTCGATTTCTGATTCCTAGATCCTCGGACTTTCAATTTGATTATCGATCCTCGATTCCTAGCAGAGCAGTGCTCCGATCGTGATTTGCCTAGGTTTTGCAATTTGCTCACAGCGTCGGGTCTGAGGTCTGCCCCCGCTGGGGGGCCCATCGGCTTCGACGCCGTATGAGGATCTCTAGACATGTCTCGAGAAGGCTTCGCAAGACATGCTTGAAGGTCTTCTTGGGGCGTAACGGTCGCCGCCACCCTGGCCGAAACACTCCCCCGCCTGGGTAGTGGTAAGCTTCGCACGGAGGGGAGGGGGGGGGCTGGCCCACCCCCCGCCTCGGGCGGGTGGTCGAAGGATTGCAAAGAAAGGATTGCAAAAAAACGAAGGATTGCAAAAAAAGAAGGATTGCAAAAAAAGGATTGCAAAATAAAGGATTGCAAACAAAAACCTTGGTTGGTGGCCCACATGAGGGGTGAAGAACAGGTCACGGAAGGAGCCCTTCGGGCACCCTTTTGGAGCCAGCTGGGGCCCTACAGGGCCCCTTCAGGGCCTTCTCACCCCCCCCTCCATTTGGGCCACCCCCCATCAGCACGCGCCCCCCCCCCCCCTCCCCTCCCCCCACCCAGCATGCTCGTACTCGCGCGCGGAGAGTGGCGCTCGCAGCGCGCCCTCGCCCCGACGTGTCCCACCCCGCCCAGGCGTTACCATTCGTCGGGGCCCCGCTCCCCTCTCCCCCCCGGGCAACGACCGGTACCGTGGATGAGTAATGGCGGCTTCTTGTCGAAGTGTGCAACATAAAACACCAAGGAAACCATTCCACACATAATCTACAGCAAGGACACGCACATATATGAAACCGAAGTGTTCAAATACCCGCGCGGATTTCTTGGACCTGCGGTGGGCCGCTGGCGCCGCCCCCCGCGCGCCGCGTGCGCCAGGGAGGGGTGTCGGGCGCAGACCCAAGAGATCCGCGCTGACCTGCAACAGTTTCTGTTTGTGCGGTTCTGTCTGCCTCTACTCGACTTGGCATCGCTCGGACGTGTGCATTTTTCCCTCGATGAGAACCACCGAGGTGCAAGCGGGATCATCGAGCACAAAAGAAGCGCGCACGAGAACAAAAATGCACGGGGAATGGACGTCCGAGCGATGGCAAGTCACAGGGATCCAGGGCAGAACGTCAGCAACTGCGGATGTGGATCCTGGCGGCGCATTTGGGAGCCCAAACATTAGCTCCAGCACGAATGATCATCGGCGGTCGCCTCCACCGACCCCTGACCCTGAAGTTTGCGCCAGAGGTTTCTGGCCACTCGGGGTGCGCCTGCCAGGCAGCTCCTGGCAGGCAGGGCACAGGCAGCGATAGGCCTTGACCTCGCACTGCAAAAACACGAGTCGAGAGACCACAGATCCGATGTTTGGTGTCCGTTCCATGGGAGCCTGCGTGGTCCCCAGCGCTGTCCATGTTGGGCCTGATTTGGACCGGATTTGGAACAAATCCGGACCAGATTTGGACTAGATTTGGGCTGGATTCGTGGGGGTTGGGAGAGCGAGGAGGGGAGAGGAGGAGCAGGAGAATGGGCCAGATGCGGTCCCCACGCTGTCCACGTGCAGGAAACGCTGATTTCAGCGTCGAAGCCCAAGGCCTCCATGAACAGGCATCGAACCGATGGGCTCCCGCCAAATCGGGCGAAGAGAGCTATGCACATGCACCGATCCTGACAACGTCCCTCCTTGACCCAGGATCGGTGCATAGACCTTCCTGGCCAGGGTGAGAGGGCGTATGCACCGATCTGGGGCTCAGGATGGGCCTGGCCAGAATCGGTGTATGTGCATAGTTTTCTTTCCTCTAAGACAGAGAGAGGAGATCGACGAAGGGACCGGGTACATAACTGATGTACCCCGAAAGGAGGTTTCTCCCGGCTCTACGAGCGGTGCGTCAACTGCTCGGTGGATCTACGGAGCATCCAACGTGTTTCTGGTAGATTCGACGGGCAGTCAATTTGGGGTACATCAACTCTGCAGTCGATCTCCTGCTCGAATAGGGAGTTCTCTCTCCTCTACAGCAGAGGGCCTCGGGAGTGCGGCCCCCCCGGTCGTGGCCGGCCGGCGAGAGCGACATGGGCTTCGCCGCGGAGGCGGGCGGGCCCTGCCCTCGGGGCGTCGGGCGGCTCGAGGGGAGGAAGCCCCCGGGGCTCGGGGGAGGAAGAGGGCCCTGGCAAGGGTGGGTCGGGGTTCCCTCCTCCTCCTCCTCCTCCTCCTCCTCCTCCTCCTCCTCCTCCCACTCCTGCTCCTCTCCTCCTCCTCCTCCTCCTCCTCCTCCTCCTCCTCCTCCTCCTCTCCTCCTCCCCTCCATTTCCTCCTCCTCCTCCTCCTCCTCCTCCTCCTCCTCCTCCTCCTCCTCCGCATCGCCGACGCATTGCCGATGCGGCTCGATGAGGAGCCCGATTCGCTCCACGTCGACGTCTCCGATGCATCGCCCACGTCCACGATGCATCGCCGGTGCGTCGCCGATGCATCGCCGACGTGTATCGGCGAGGCGGCGCGAACCTCCGACCTCATTTACTCGGACCCCATCTAGGAGGCCTCTACAACCCCCCTCCTCCCCAGCCAGGACTCCTGCATCATGGAGGTGAGGGTGGGTTGTGCCGTCCTCAGACAGCAGTTCCCATCCATTTTGAACAGGGCTCGCTGTCGGCGTCGCCGCGGGCGTGGTCCATGTGATACAGAAGGCCACCTGCACAGCAGCGTCTGGTGTCGGTTCTGGGCACAATTTGTTGCTTGGCATTGTGCAGTCAGGAATAGGAGGAGGAGGAGGAGGAGGAGGAGGAGGAGGAGGAGGAGGAGGAGGAGGAGGAGGAGGAGGAGGAGGAGGAGGAGGAGGAGGAGGAGGAGGGAGGAGGGCCTGGCTCTCGGACAGTTCCTCTGACCCAGGTCGGGGCGCCCGCTCGTGGCCGAAGCTCGCCGTGGCCGGAAGCAGCCGCCCGGTTCCTGCTCTGGCGCCCCCTGCGTGGCTGCGCGAGGACGGCATCCACCGGTTTTCTCCGCTCCCCTTCCTTCGGGGCGTCCAGGCCCCGGGAGGGGAAGCCGCGAGCACGCGCGCGCGGCGTGCTGCGCGCGATTCCTGGGGAGCCCGCAGCGGGCCACGGAGGGGGGCACCCGCGGGGGCGCCAGAGGCTGCCTCGCGGCGTGCGCGGCGCGCTCCCGGGGCGCGAAGGGCGGCGCCAGGGCGCGAAGGCAATCGTTGCCAGCCTCGAACTTATATCCCTGCCCCTAAGATTGGCACGCCAAAGGGCGATGACAATCTCAGGGATTCGCCCTCAAGACAGGAGGGGGTCCCTAAGATTGGCATCGCGATGAGGAGATGCCCAGCATAGGGATAGGGATATGTCCCAGGCTGGTAAAATCGCGCATCGCGGGGAGCCGCGCGGGGGGGCGGCACCAGATGCGGCGGCCGCGCGAGGAGGGTCGGGCCTCCGATGGTTTCGGGCAGGTTCGTGTCACGTCGACCAGCGGCGACCACGTTGCCGGCGTTCAACGTGGAACGCCGCCGGCGACCCAGAATCGGTCGATGTTGAGCGATCTGACGTTTCGAAAACCGCCAACCGTTTAAGGTTGAACAATCCCCGCGGTGTCGGCAACCAATGCCGAAGTCGGCACGACACGAACTTGTTGTGTGCATATTTGACGAGCAGTGGCGAAGCGTCCTGGCTTGCCTATAGGCCCACAAAATAATGATCTAAGAACCTTTTGTGGTCTGCGCGAAATGTATTAGAGCATTCCTGGCTGGGATCGTCTTGTTTTACTCCGTCGGTTTATACTATGAGAACACTGCTCTTGTTCTTGGAAGATGTTTGGGTTCTGAGAGCATTTCGTGGCAGGCCTATAGGAATGCCGAGAAGGTCGGTCCCTGCTCAATAGAGGGAATCGGTAGCAAATCATGGGAGCTTGATGTACCCTCTTAGTTGCGTCTTTCGCGTCGGTTATTGTCTGGTGATCGATGGTATAGCGCCAATTGGGCATCGAGGCTCCCATGAGATGCCACCCAGGGGGCGGAACATGCCTAGAGTGCTTAAAATATGTTTTCTTTGAGTCGGTCCTCCTCGTCGCCATTCTCGCCAGCAGGCTGGAGCAGGGGCGCGCTCATCTCACGGCCCGAGTCCAAATCGGATGCCCTTCTCGTTGTCCTCCTCCTCGGCGAGAAGTTGTAGTCCAGTATTCTCAGCAGGGAAAAATACACACAGACATAATGAATCGTCGATTTCCCAGAACATATGGGAAACTATGGGAAGTGGGGGGGAAAACTCAAACCCCCAAACATTGGGGAAAATATGGGGAGTATGTTTATTTGTGTATGTTTGTTTGTGTGTCCTGGGGCCCCTTCGAAACTGCAGTCCAGTATTTGTGCGACTGCCCGTGTCCGCGCTCCCAGCGAGGCGGCCACACGACTGCACGATAGCACCTGCTCGCCTGTTCTGTGGTGCCCTGCTCAGTGCTTCCCGCCGTGCTGAGAAGCCGCTCGCCCTCCAGAAGCTCATTCGCCTCCCTCCCAGTACCTTCTCCCTGCACGGCGCTGCGATCGGCATCTCCCACGAGGATTCAAGTGTACTCCGTCGGTTGTGCCTGGCATGCGTCGACGCACTCATACAAGAGAACCATGGGAAGGGAATCTGACTGCTGGTGGGAGGAGGTGGACACCCACGGCCTGCATGCACGTGCGCAAGGTCTCCGCCCCGCAGCCTGCTGGATGCAGGATCGAGGCGTGCTGCTACATGACTACCCGTCAGTTAGCCAAGGCTGCATCGGCCTTCCATGTCCAGCGGCTCGAATGCAGGCGGCCATCGTTGCTGCTGCTGACTCCCAGGGCGCGCCCGCTGCCAGGGAAAGACCAGCTCCGACAGCTCCGTACTTTGCCAGCCGCCGCGGGGCGGCTTGGCGAAGGCGCCAACGGTTGGTTGGTCGAGGTGGTGGTCGTTTGGTCGTGGGCTGGGGGGGGGGGGAAGGACCTCAAGGGGCCTTCATCTCCGTGCTCATGCGACCATAACTTCCAGATCGACTCCATGAGTTGATGCCTCGGAGGCGTAAGACGTGGTTCCCTCCCGAGCCCCTGTCTTTTCCCGCTGTGCAGGCAGGGTGGCCCGCAGCTCGCAGCCGTGCAACGTGTGGTCCTACCTGGAAGCCCTCGCTGGGGTGTGGCGGATCACCAGCCACAAGATTAAGATCCTCACGCCACTGATGTGCAGGCTTGGGCGCCCTGGTCACCCCGACTCGTTCCTCCACTACCTTTCCTGCCCCCGCTTGCTTCACCTCGTGGCCCTGGCCCGCCTGCGCATCCTCACCGTCCCCGTTCCTGTGGCTCGGCCTCGGGACGGAGGAGGAGTATGACGGCACTGGTCTCACGATCGAGATTGCCCACAACCTTGGTAGTTTGGCGTGCCTCTGTTTCATCAGATCTGCGCCGAGCTTGCAGTAACCCCATCGCAGCTTGGCAACAGTGCTCCCTACATTTCAACACGCCGTGCTGCTCTCGTTCGTCGGCAACCTGACGATACTCCCACTGTACGTGCGCTTCTCCATCCCTCTTCCTTGTAAACAACTTCTCCCTGTCGCACCCCGAGACGGGTCGGTCGGGCGGGCCGGTCGTTTCGCCTGAGACTTCCTCACAATCTACGATCCTGAAGCTTGAAATTTGCTTGAGCGTGGCGGATGGAGGGCGGGTCGTTTTCAGCAGGCTTGTCTCGCCCCAGCCCCGCGCACATTCGTCCTAAACTTTTTGCAGGAGCTTCATGGATGGAGGGCGGGCCGTTTTCAAAAGTTGTCCCTCGTCCTGGCGTTGTCCACATCAGTTTTAAAACGTTCGCACGTGTTTCGCCACTGGATCGAGGGCCTTTTTCAAAAGGTTGTTCTCGCTTCAGCGCTGCGCGCATTCCTCCTAAACACTTGCACAAGATTCACCGATGGAAGGCAGCTCCTTTCCAAAATTCGGTTCTCGCCCGAGCGCCACGCATATTCGGTTGAACAGTCTTCACTCACTTGAAGGATTTGGACGGTTGACTTCCAGGAAATTGTGCTTTCGGCACGGTTTGTTGCAGATCGCGACTTTCCCATTGATTCGCGGTGTTGGCATCCCAGGCATGGTGTACTGGATCGTCAGGTCGCAACGACAACGTTGATTCGCGGCGTGGCAGTCCCACGGATGGTGCTTCGGCACGGTGGAAGTTTTTTTTGACAGCTGTCTTCCAGTGGACTCTTCCCGCAGCAGGCATGGATCCCCGTGGGAGTTGATGTGGAGAGGGAACTCGCAGGAAGGGTTCAGAGCAACATCGTTGATGAGTTTTGGTTTTGCACTGGCCCACCTCCTCTTCCCCACCCTGGGAGGGCGGAGAAGGAGAAGGAGGAGAAGGAGGAGGAGGAGGAGGTAGGAGGGAGGGAGGGGGGAGGGAGGGAAGGAGGGGGGAGGGAGGGAGGGAGGCATAGAGGGAGGGACGGAGGGAGGGAGGGAGGGGGAGGAGGGAGGGATGGGGGGGAGGGGGGGAGGGAGGGAGGGGGGCTCCCCCTCCTCGGACAGCCCAGGTGGAGGATGAGCACGGCGACGACGCGGGCCTCCTGGAGCCCCCTGAGGGTGACGAAGGTGGCGTCGAGGGTGCTGGGGCTGACGAGCACGGAGAGGAAGAGGGCGAAGCTCTCGGCGGCCACGGCGAGGAGGAGGGCGGCCACGGCGAGGAGGAGGGCAAGGGTCACCACAGCCACGGCGAGGAGGAGGGCGAGGGGCAGTGGTACGCCCAGGACGAGGAGGAGGAGGAGGAGAAATACAGCGAGACAGACATCGCGATGTCCAAGGTCCTGCTCGGCAGTTTCGCGCTGGTGATGCTCATCATATACTTCGTCAACTGGGAGGACGACGACGTCAAGCTTTATTCCTGGATGATGGTGAGCAACACGATCTGCATTTTTGTTGCGGTCCTCATCTTCTCGTGCATCCACGAGTTCGTGCTCGCGAGCGTGGGGGCCGAGGACTTGCACAGCTCCGGGTGGTATATTGTGATGGTCTATGCCATGCTCGTGGCGTGGTACGTCATGCTGAACGTCATCGTGGCCCTCATCGCCAACGAGATCTGGCCGTTCCCGCACGACGGAGCGCTGGACGAGGAGGTGTGGGTGATCGCCGACCCTCTGCGGGCGGACTACGGGAAGCGGGTGCCGCAGGGCATCGTGCCGTCGGAGACGATGAGAGCCGACGAGAAGAAGAACGTCGTCACACACGATGACGGTGCGGAGGTTTTCGTGGAGAAGGCGCCATGGGCGCGCCACAGGGTGGAGAGATGGTTGACGTGTTGGGCAACCCTGCTGGCACACATGACGGGGTTTGCGGCCATCAACGCCGGCGGCACCCTGCAGCACATGCACCTGTTCAGCGGGAGCCCGGCGTTGGTCTTGCTTGCCGTAGTGATCAACACGGTATTTCTTGTCCTTCTCTTTCAACTGTTCGGCTGGATACGTGGCCTTGCGGTTATGGCCGACGGCGTGGAGTCTGAGGGAGAGACCATGTTCAAGGAGCACGTTGAGGAGGCAGAAAACGACATTGCGAGCCTCTCGATCTCCTTTCTGATGGTACAGGCCCTGCGCTTCGTCATCACCGGAACCTTGCCGAACAAAGAGGGCATCGATCACGAGGTGCACGAACAGCCAGCGCCTATTTGCATTCTCTTGGCGGGCTGCTGTTTTGCAATAGTGACCTACGTGATGATGTTTGTAATGGGCAGCCATCACAACGGTCACGGAGACGCTCACGCGACGTGGCGTGTCAAAGTGGTAGCAGTCTCCCAGAGCGTGTTTGGCATGATGTTCGCATGGTGCGTTCTCTTCGCGACTCGCGGGCTGATGTATGCATCTCGGGGTAGCCCAAAGCCACAGTGTCGGTTGCACTTGCCGCCGTTGCCGCTGCTTCATATTCTCCCCTTCTTGCACCGTCCACAGTGGAGTCGGGTGTTGTCAGATGTGGTTTCGGCCCAAGGACTCCCCAGGCTTGCTGGAGAGACACCCACGGCCTCCAGAGCACACATCGTGATGCCCAGGGGGCCCCAGAACTTCCAAAATGGCGCGACTAGCTGGAGACACCTTAGACCATGAACAAATCTGGCAATCCCTGCAGGAGGACGGGGACTCGATAGCGGGGGGCGGGGGGTAGGGAAACCACGAAGTGCCGCCGATAGCCTTACTTTCTGGACCTCTCCTGGGGTGCGTTCTGATCAGAATGTCGGGGCGAATCCAGCGGTGGCAACGAGCGCCTCCCGGGAGCTCCACGCCAGCGAAAACGAGGCAGGGGCACTGTAGCCGCAGCGGCACCAGTACTTCTTCTGAGGCTGGGCAGCGGAGCCGAATCCCGCCGTGACTGTGGCTTTGCCTCCCCGTGCGTCGCCCGTGCTTCAGTCCATAGGGGCCGGTCCAGACACCATGCAGGGCCGGATTCTGGCCGCCATGATCGTGTCCATGGGCACCATGAGCTTCATCCTGGTGATCGACGTGATCGACGACAACTCCGAGAGCTTCGCCAGGAGGCCAGGCCAGCCCATCCTTTCAAAAACCCGGGCGCGGTGCATGTTTTTAGTCGGATATGGGGTGCCTGCGTCCGGTCTCGGGCCCCAGGACCCTCAGGGATCGACCCAGCTCGAACAACGCCGCAGGAAGTTGTGTCTAGGGTTCCAGTCGTGATGTTCCGCGATGCTGCACTGAGGAGTAGGAGGAGGAGGAGGAGGAGGAGGAGGAGGAGGAGGAGGAGGAGGAGAGGAGGAGGAGGAGCAGGAAGGAGGAGGAGGAGGAGGAGGGAGGAGGAGGAGGAGGGAGGAGGAGGAGGGAGGAGGAGGAGCAGCAGCGTGGGGCTGCTGGGCCCCCCCGGCGTGGAGCGCGAAGGCGCCGCAGCCAGCCGCCTCGCGGCGTAAGGGGGCCGAGCTGCTCCTTCAGCGGGTCGGCGCGGGGCAGCGCGGACATCACGCCGCGGCCGGCGCGTGTGTCACACGGCGCGGGGCGCCGTTGGTTGGGGCCTCCCCAGTCCGTTCCCTCCTCACTCACCTTCCCCCTTCCCTCCCACATCCTCCCTCCCTCCTCCTCCTCCCTCTCCTCCTCCTCCCTCCTCCTCCTCCTCCTCCTCATCCTCCTTCCTCTCCTCCTCCTCCTTCCCTCCTCTTACCTCCTCCTCCCTCCTTCCCCTCCTCCTCCTCTCCACTTCCTACTCCTCCCCCTCCTCCTCCTCCTCCTATCTCCTCCTCGCCTCCTCTCCTCCTCCGTCCTACTCCTCCTCCTCCTCTCCTCCTCCTTCCTCTTCCCTATTCCTGCGTGCTCCTCATCCTGGTCCTGCTCCTCCTCCACCTCCTGCTCCGCCCTCTCCCCCCTCGCGCCCCGCGCCGTGGACACACGCGCTGGCCGCGGCTTGATGTCCGCGCTGCCCCGCGCCGACCCGCTGAAGAGCAGCTCGGCCCCCTTACTTGGGCCGCGAGGCGGCTGGCTGCGGCGCCTTCGCGCTCCACGCCGGGGGGGCCAGCAGCCCCACGCTGCTGCTCCTCCTCCTCCTCCTCCTCCTCCGCCTCCTCCTCTCCTCTTCCTCCTTCCCCTCCTCCTCCTCCTCCTCCTTCCTCTTCCTTATTCCTGCGTGCTCCTCTCCTTGTCCTGCTCCTCCTCCACCTCCTGCTCAACCCTCTCCCCCCTCCCCTCCCCCCCTGCTCCACCCTCTTCCTTCTCCTCCTCCTTCCTCTCCTCCTCCTCCTTCATCCTTCGCCTCCTCTTTCTCTACCCTCCTCCTGGTCCTTCCCTTCTTCCACCCCCTCCTTCATCCTTGTCCTGCTCCTGCCCCGCAGGTCTCCAGGCGCCTCCAGAGGTCCCCGCAGGCAGAAGAAATCTAAGCTTCCGGAAGCCGCCTGGAGGTCCAAAACGGGCACAAGCCTACAGAAAAAACTCGATCTTGGATGGTCGACTCTCTCGATCTTTCCTCCCCCCTCTCCGTCTCCTTCCCCCCCTCCTCCCTTCCCCCCTTCCTCGGAAGGCTGAGCCTGGACAGCGTGCTGTCGGGGCGGGCCCAGAAGCGCGCCGTGCATGTCGGAGCCGGGATCCGGTGGCACACGGGGCCAGGGTGTTGGGAAAGAAGGGTCGGGAGAGGGGAGGGGAGGGGAGGGGAAGGAGGGGAGGGGAGGTGAGGACATCGCAGCAATTCAGACGACAGGTCGTCCAGGCCCTCCGGCCGCAAGTGCCAGGCAGGCCTTCCTGGCAAAGCGGGAGGCGCCGCATCTGGAAGAGGGTAGGTGGGATGACCTCCCCTTGGCGCGGACCAGAGGGGTCCCCGTCTGGAAAAACACAGCGGGCGGAGGTGATCAGACCTCTCCAGGGCCCGTTTGGCTCCCCGTGCAGAGAGAGGCACCGGCTCTAGCACGCTTTGGCAGGCGCGCCTGGGCGCCCAGGGAAGAGCGTCGCCGCCTCGGGGCATCCCCCACAGCGGCCCAGGAGGAGCAGACGGCAGCAGGTGCCAGCAGTTCACGAGGCCCGATGAGGAGAGGGGCTAGCACTGGGGCGCCGCCCTGCGACCCTCAAGGAAGAGGCTTGGAGGTTGTAGTGGTGGGGCGCCCCCGTGGCCGCAGCAGGCCGCAAGGACTGTTGCAGGCCGCTCCAAACCTCTTGCGCACGGTGGAACGCGTCAGTCAGCGAGGCTGATGTTTCCTGGCTCTGGTGGGAAGGTCACCAGCTGATTGGCTCCTTGGTAGAGCGCTTGTATGCTGGCTGTGAGATTTTGTCTCTGGGTCCTCTTCTTGTTGGCCGCTTGCCGCAGTGAGGTGTTGCGTGAGGGTTTGCCTGCGATCCGTGCGGTGCGTGATACCGCTGGCGTGGTGGCCGTCACCCCTGGCCTCGCGGCTGTCCCTCGGATCCCTGGTGGGCCGAATGGGGGGACGCGTTAAGTTTAGAGCGATGGCTGGCCATCGTGCCCTGCCGCTCCTGAGCGTTGAGCGGCCGGCCTTTCGCCGTTTCGCCAGGGTGTTCCTCGGCACTGTTGACATCACCAAGGGGGGGCGACGCAGTGAAAGGAAGTCGCGGGCGTCATCGTGGGTGAGAGAAGCCCCGAGCTCGAGTGGGTGGAAATTATCAGCGTACACGTCGTCCATATGTAGGGGCCAGGGTCCATCAAGGTCGTCGAAACTGTCAGGGTTAAGTGGCTTGGCCATCGGAGGTCGTCCTCCCTGTGCACCTGTGCCACCTGGCGAGCGGGTTTGGCTCCAGTTGGGGAAGTTCTGGCCCGGAAGAATCCTGCTTTCCTGTGGGGCAGAGGGAGCGTGGGGTGTCGCTGGTCATATTTCCCGACGCCCCCGCTGCTGAGTGCAGCGGCGAAATTGCGGCGCCATCTAGCAACGTCGATTATTCTTTGTGGGATGCTGTGGAACCGCGCCCAGCGGTGGCGAGTTTATGAGCGCGGGCTCTGACATCGTCAGCGATAGGCGCGATGCGGCATTCGTGTATGTTTTCCTCGCCAAGGCGGCTTCGATTGTCTAGTCTTTGAACAGGTCAGGTTTTGCAAGAAGCACCCGGTGGATTTATCCGATTGCGGTCCCACTCGTTACGGTGGTTTACCTTTGAAGAGGTCTATCAACCCGTAGGCGACCGCTTGGGCGTCAACGATGACTTGGATCGGTTGTTCCGCCATGGTGTCGAGGCGCAGCGTGGCGAGGGTTCCGGCCATTTGTTCGGAACGTGCCAGGCCGCGCGCGCGAGCCGAGCGGTCTAGCCGGCAATCCGCCAAAGCCCGCCCTGGCAAGGAGGGAGTGTCCTGCCAGTGTTGGTCGGCGATAATGGTCTCGAGGGCTGTCTTCTGATTTGCCCAGCGAGGAAATTTCCAGACATCGCGCTCCTGGGTTTCTCTGCCCGGGGGAGATGAGTCCGCCGAGGTGCCATGCCGGTCTCGTCTTTCCTCTGTTGGGCGCGGTCACCCTTCAGATGTAGTTGCAAAGGAGACGGGGTTGCCGAGCGGCATAATGGTCCTAGAGGTCCAAGTTTTGGCAAAATTGCCAATGCCCTGCTTGACGAGGGCAACGGTTTCAGGATCGCGCCTCCGGCCCAGCGGTTGCGGCGCGTCGGAGGAATGCTCTCCGTTGCGCGGCCCGAAGCACGCGGTT